TCCCTCCACCCTTCTCTACCTCTGCCCTCTGCTCTTCCACAAATATGTGTTAAACAAGTTCATCGTAAAGGGGGGATACAGCGTTCCCGCTGAGTAGTTTTTCCTGGTGCGGGGATAGATTTTCTCTTGCACATTCACATGTTTCCGTGGCCACAGCTCAGGCCACTGGACCGGGAGACAGCTGGCCAAATCAGGAGGAAATGCTTGGCCGTGAAGCAGCAGTGTCCCCGCTGATCGCTGTACTGCTGACATTGGCCTTGCGGAATTGTAAATCTCCCCTCCCCACGCTGCTTACCCATGACAAACACTTGAACATTTATGAAATGAGTGCCACATACATCTTATTTTGTGTGTGCCAGAATCATGTTCTCTGGCTAAATCTAAAACCCCTTAAATGTTTCATTGTTGTGCTCAGAACTGAACGTAATAGTCTGTGTGGTCTGGTTAGTGCAGAGAAAGATAGGACCCATCACCTCCTTATTCTGAATACTCCGCTATAAAAGCAGCCTCGTCCTGGGCCATCACAGGCCCTGTACACCAAAATGGGTGGGGTTTCCATTCCCAGTCAGAGCACATACCCAGGTTAGGGGTTGTATCCCCAGTCAGGGCTCATAGGAAAGGCAACTGAACTCTCTCTCTCTCTCTCTCTCTCTCTCTCTCTCTCTCTCTCTCTCTCTCCTTCCCTCAGTATCTGAAATCAATAAATGTATCCTCAGAGAGGATTCTTTTACAAAGTAGCCTAAACTGTCTTCACTGACTCATATCAGGCTTCCACTTGGTAAAATTCAGCACGTTTTTATATTTGTGCCACTTTAAAGCCACACCTTCTGTGTCACCTACCTAGATGGTTGGGATTTGGGGTATAAGTTTAGGAACTTAAACTTATCCATATTAAATTATACCAGGTTTATAAATGGCTCTGAAAAAATAACAGTCTGGCACTATCTTCTAAGAAACCACTGACTTTACTAGAAATTACTGTCCAGGCAACAGAGAAACCAGAGAGATTAAGAGGACTTCAAGTTGTCTCAAGAAACTAAGAACCTTCTTTGGTGTAAAAGTTGGGCATGGAAGGTGGTTGCCACGGCAGAAAGGGAATCTGACTTTTCCACAGAGCGTGAACTTTAGAATGGGCTCTTTATTTATACCTATGTTCTCCACGGGGTTTTGCAAAATTCCTTGCCTAGAGTAGGTCCTCAATAAATATTTGCTGAATTCATGAACAGAGTGAATGTAGGCTCTGTTGACTGTTATAACAGAAGTCTTTTACTTTTCTGAAATTCACTTTAATTTCAGAGTAGCAGAAACATCCTTTTATGAGTGAGATGGTTTTATATTGACCACTGAAGTCCATGTGATAAAATTGAGGGGGGAAATCACAAAAATCGCTAGTTTATGGGCCTTTCGCTGAGATGGTTTGGCTGAAAAACAGGTTAGAAACCACCAAAGGAATTTCCTAACTCCGAGTTTCACCTGACACATTTTCACAGAGCACCAGTACCCAGTTATTGGCTTTTCAGAAATAAATCTCAAGTTTAAATAAAATTAACCTGTACAGTCCCAGCCGGTTTGGCTCAGTGGATAAAAGGTCAGCCTGCGGACTGAAGGGTCCCAGGTTTGATTCCTGTCAAGGGCACCTACCTTGGTCACAGGCTCCCAGCCCTGGTTGGGGGCATGCATGCAGGAGGCAGCCAATCGATGTGTTTCTCTCACATTGGTGTTTTTCTCTGTCTCTCCCTCTCCCTTCCACTCTCCCTAAAAATCAATGGAAAAGTCTCCTCAGGTGAGGATTTAAAAAAATAACAACAATAACCTGCACATTTTGAGAATAGGTAGCTGAAATTAAGAATTGCCAAGTTTTTTATATCTGACTCCAGACAAAAATGCAGCTCCTACAAAAATAAAATCTCTTCAATAAAACCCCAAACAATTGATACTATCTGTCACAGGAAATGAGAGATCAAAACGGTAAATGTAACCCAAGTCAGTTTGGCTTAGTGGATAGAGCGTTGGCCTGCAGATCAAAGGGTCCCGGGTTTGATTCCAGTCAAGGGCATGTACCTTAGTTGCAGGCTCCTCCCCAGCCTGGGCCCTGGTTGGGGCTCGTGCAGGAGGCAACCAATTGGTGTGTTTCTCTCACATCAATGTTTCTCTCTGTCTTGCCCTCTCTCTTCCACTCTCCCTAAAAATCAATGGAAAAACATTCTTCGGTGAGGACTAACAAAAAAATTTTTAAAAAAACACCTTGTAAATATAGAAAAAAAAATTTTAAGGTAAATGTCAAATATCTCTTAAAATAAGAATGTCCTTCAAGTGAATAGATTGTGGACATGACAGGCAATAGCACAATAGACTTACTGTTGCATTGTAAGACCTTGCTAGAGGTAAAGTCTTTCAGCAATTCAACTCCTACGTTGGACCTTCAAAAAAATGGAAAGATAAGTTAGCCTGATACCTTCCCAGATATTAAAGTAAGAATTAATCACTGGCCGCAACCGGTTTGGCTCAGTGGATAGAGCGTCGGCCTGTGGACTGAAAGGTCCCAGGTTCAATTCCGGTCAAAGGCATGTACCTGGGTTGCGGGCACATCCCCAGTAGGAGATGTGCAGGAGGCAGCTGATTGATGTTTCTCTCTCATCGATGTTTCTAACTCTCTATCTCTCTCCCTTCCTCTCTGTGAAAAATCAATAAAATATATATTTTTTTAAAAGAATTAATCACTGTCTAGGTGGATTGAACCACCCTTAACTTTCTCTGTAGGTGTTTTTTTTTCTTTTCTTTATTTGGATTTATTTAAGATATTCTGGCGGAGTGAAGGTTTAGGATTCTGGAAAACTGTTCTCCTGTTAATGCCAAGAGTCTGGAGGTCCAGAGAGAGTCACTCATGTTCCATGTAGCATTAATCAAATATCTATTTCTTTGCATTTCCCTCTAATTTTTAACAAGCCATGCCCTGCTCACTTTACCACCTGTAGCAGTGTGGGCTTTCACTGCATTTTCCCCGCGCTTCTCACCTGTGCACGCGTCAGAGTTGTGTGAGTGCTGCTGCCACTCCGATTGCTTGGCTTCCTCCCACAGCTCTGGTTCAATCGTTCTGGGAGCTTGAAGAGAGATCTGCACCCCCAGGTTTGCAGCAGAATTGGTCACGTTAGTCATGTGTGAACATAACCTATGTGTCTGTCAATGGGTGAATGGATAAAGAAAGTGTGGCCTATGTATAAATTATTCAGCCTTAAAAATGAATGAAATCCTGCCATTTGTGACAACATGGATGAAGGTGGAGGATATTGTACTAAGTGAAACAGGCCAGATACAGAAAAATAAATATTAAATGATCTCACTTGTGGTTGCTATTGAATTTTAAAAAGTCAAACGCAGAGAGACAGAATAAAATGGTGGTTTCCAGGGTTGGGGGTTGAGAGAAATAGAGAGATGATGATCAAAATGTATAAACTTAAAGAGGACTAAGTTCTGGGATCAGATATAGAGCATGGTAACTATCCTATATAATAAAAGCATAATATGCAAATTGACGGAACAGTGGAACGACGGGTCTCTATGATGTGCACTGACCACCAGGGGGCAGACACTCAATGCAGGAGCTGCCCCTGGTGGTCAGTGCACTCCCACAGGGGGAGTGCTGCTCAGCCAGAAGCCAGGCTCACAGCTGGCCAGCACAGTGGTGGTGGCGGAAGCCTCTCTCGCCTCCACTGCAGGTGGTGGGTAAGGAACAAGGGGTCCGGACTGTGAGAGCCCCAGACTGGGAGAGGGATGTCTGACTGCCAGCTTAGGCCCCCAAGGGGTCCCAGACTGTGAGCACACAGGCTGGGCTGAGGGACCCCCTCCCCACTGCCCCCGTGCACAAATCTCATGCACTGGGCCTCTAGTAGTTAATAATAACATAGTCTATTCTTACAATTTGCTGAGACAGTGTATCTTAAGTGTTCTCATCACACACACACACACACACACACACACACACACACACACACACACACACACACAAATGAGCCAGCAGTTACTGGGATGTCCTAGGTGTTAAGCATTATGCTTGGCCTGTGAGACAAAGCAGTGGCCATCAGTGGCTTCCTGTCATACATAGATGGCCTCTACGGTGCTGCTTCCTACCCATTTGGCCTCCTCTCTCCTTCTTGGAATTCCAGCCTCAGTGGTCCCTCTCAGGATTCCTGGAACATTCCAGCGTGCTCTTGCCTAAGACCCTAATCCCTCTCTTTTCCCCCAGAATTCACATGGCTCACTTCCTCACTTCCTTCAGGTTGCTACTCAAGACAGGCCTTACCTGGCCACTTTTTAAAATAGTGCCCCCATCACCTACAAAATCCCTTATTCTGATGACTTTATGTTACAAAACTATTTATTTGTTTGTTGTCTTTCTCATCCACTAAAATGTTGACTTCCAAGCATCTAGAGCTATATCTGGAATACAGAATGTGCTAACAACTATTTATAAATTGAATGAATGCATGCATGGTGAAAAATAACCTTACACAGCTTACAAATTAGCAAAAGATATAAACCTGTATTGAAAACTTAATAGTATAATAAGTGTTCTGATTGGAGAACAGAATGCAGACGTGGAGAAAATGCCGTCTGAGGCCAGGCGTGTGAAACGCTAGGGCTGGAAGGGAACATGTTCCATTTGTGAGACAAGAGACTGCAGAGCCTGGAAAGTTCTGTAAACATGTTAAAGAGTTTGGATTTCATCCTCAGAGCATTAAGGTCACATTAATGGTGTTAAGCAAGGAAACGTAAAAGTCATCTGTGTTTAGAAACACAGTGTGGGTACAGTGTGGAGAACAGATTGAAGGAAACAACACTGTAGGCAAGAAACCCAGCTCTGGAGTTGCCGTAACCTAACTGAGGCACAATGATGGTTTATACAAGGACAGGGGCAACAATAGTGAGTGAAGTGTCTGGGCTCAGCAGATATTTAGGAGGCACAATTCATAAAATTTGGCGATTCAGTTGCTGTAAAGAGTAGACTACATAATGGTACCATTCACAACCCTCCTCCTTTTATTTTGCAAAGCATCTATTAATACTTTGTAGGATTGCTGTTCCATGGTATACATGATAGGAAGTGATGGGCTATACAAAATTACTGAGTCTGGAAGTATTTTAACTATGGAGAACTATAGGTACATAGAAAACAGTTTTTTGATTATACTCCTTTTAGCAAATTGGATCACTAAAACCACAGTTGTAGAGGTGACCTGTATGGGGCCCATGATTTTACTACCAGCTGAACTGACTCTGAGCAATAGGTCTAATTAACCCTAATCATTATTCATCAACACAATAAGGGAGTCTGATTAGGAAAAGTTGGTCTGAACCAAATCTGCCCTTTTGTATCAATTATTGTATTTGAAGTCACTGGCATAAAAATTAACTATATAGCCTGGCCAGCATGGCTCAGTGGTTGAGTGTTGACCTATGAATCAGGAGGTTATGGTTTGATTCCAGGTTAGGGCATATGCCCAGGGTGCAGACTTGATCCTCAGTGTGGGGCATGCAGGAGGCAGCTGATTCTCTGTCATCATTGATGTTTCTATCTCTCTCTCCCTCTCCCTTTCCCTCTGAAATCAATAAAAATATTTTTAATTAACTATATAAAACTTGAGGCCCAGTGCATGAATTCGTGCACCAGTGGGGTCAGTCAGCCTGGCTTGCGGGATCAGGCCGAAACCAGCTCTCCAACATCCCCTGAGGGTTCCTGGATTGCGAGAGGGCACAGGCCAGGCTGAGGGACCCCACCTGTGCATAATCGTGGCCAGAGAGGGATGCAGGAGGCTGGCCAGCTGGGGAAGGACCATAGGAGGGCTCCAGGGCATGTCCAGCCTGTCTCACTCAGTCCCGATCTACTGGACCCCAGCAGCAAGCTAACCTACCAGTCAGAGCATCTGCCCCCTGGTGGTCAGTGCATGTCATAGCGACTGGTTGACTGGTCAACTGTCTGCCCCCTGGTGGTTAGTGCACATCATAGCATGCAGTTGAGTGGCCTTAGCATATCATTATGATATTATGCTTTGATTGGTTGAACGGGCGACCGGACACTTAGCATATTGGGCTTTTATTATATAGCTTAAGTATATATTATTTGCTGATTGATTTTGAAGTATTTACTAGTACCTTTGCCATTTATATAATTTAAAAAGTGATCCCCTCAATAAGTCTAGTACCTGAAACCATCCATAGTTATTACAATAATATTGACCATATCTCTATGCTGTACTTTACATCCCCATGACTATTTGAAACTACCAATTTGTACTTCTTAATTCCCTTACCTTTTTCATCCAGGCTCCTAAGTCTATTTTCTATATCAATGAGTTTGTTTCTGTTTTGTGTATTTATTTTGATTTTTGGATTTCACACATAAGTAAAATCATATAGTACTTGTCTTTCTCTGTTTGACTTATTTCACTTAACATAATACCCTCTAGGTTCATCCATGTTGTTGCAAATTGTAAGAGTTCATTGTTTTTTATGGCCTAGTAGTATTCCATTGTGTATATGTACCACATCTTCTTTATCCAATTATCTACCAATGGACACATATGTTGCTTCCATATCTGGGCTATTGTATATGAAATATCCTTTTAGGTCTCTTGTTATAGACTTTGTGTTAAAGACTATTTTGTCTGAAAGCAGTATTAATTACTACCCCAGCTCTTTTTTCCATTTCAATTTTCTATGTTTTCCTCATTTCAGTTATTATATTCCTAATTTCTAACTTTTTAAAAAATATATTTATTTATTTAAGAGAGGAAGAGAGAGATAGAAACTTGAATGATGAGAGAGAATCATTGATCAGCTGCTGGCTGCTTCCTATACCCTAATCCCCACTGGGAATTGAGCCCACAACCTGGGATCCAACTGTGATCTCCTGGTTCATAGGTCAATGCTCAACCACTGAGCCACGATGGCCAGGCTTAATTTCTAACTTTTTAAAATGTTTCCTAGCTCTTTGTTGAAGCTCTCACTGAGTTTATCTATTTGTTTCTTAAGTTTCTTGAACATCCTTATAACCAGCGTTTTGAACTCTGCATCCAATACATCGCTTGCCTCCATTTTGTAAGTTCATTTTCTGAAATTTTGTCACTTTTTCATTTGGGACATGTTTGTCTCCTCATTTTGGCTGCCTCCCTGTGCTTGTTTCTATGTGGTAAGTAGGTCTGCTATGTCTTCCAGTCTTGGCAGAGTGGCGTTATGTAGCAGATGTCCTGCGGCTCCTGTGGCAGTCAGCCCTGTTCTCAACATAGCCTCTCCCAGGCACTGCCAAGGCCACACATGCAGCTACCAACCCCAGGTCACTTTAGAGCTCCTTCCAGGTGGCGTGGGGCTGGTGCCGAACCACAGGCGGCAGCTGATCTGGACTTGCACCAGAGCCCCTCTATTTGTTCATCGTAACTATTGTCAAAGACTTTTTTAGAACAATATATATGGTTATTCCAAAGCAATTATGCAACATCACACAAATCATATTCTTTTTTAAAAAATATATTTTATTGATTTTTTACAGAGAGGAAGGGAGAAGGATAGAGAGTTAGAAACATCGATGAGAGAGAAACATCGATCAGCTGCCTCCTGCACACCCACTACTGGGGATGTGCCCGCAACCGAGGTACATGCCCTTGACCGGAATCAAACCTGGGACCTTTCAGTCCACAGCCCGATGCTCTATCCACTGAGCCAAACCAGTCAGAGCACATAAATCATATTCTAGTAAATAGTTGCGTGAATGAAAGATTCATGAAAAATCCACTTTTTTTTCTTAATTTTAGTTTTTCAATTAGTTTACATCCAATATTATTTTGTATTAGTTTCAGTGGTACAGCACAGTGGTTAGATCATCATATACTTTATGATTTCAAGTGCCTACCTGGCACAATACACAATATTATTGGCTATATTTCCTTTGCTGTACTTTAAATCCCCATGACTATTTTATAACCACCAATCTGTACTTCTTAATCCTTTCATCTTTTTCACACAGTCCCTATCACCCCTCCCCTCTGGCCACCATCAGTCTCTACTCTGTATCTGTCTGTTTCAATTTTGTTTGCCTGTCTGTTTTGTTCTTTAGATTCCACATATAAGTGAAATCATCCTATATAATAAAAGCCTAATATGCAAATCAGGAACAACTGATCAGAGGCAGGCAGGGCCAGTGAGTGGGCTGCACCAGGCCAGCCAGGCAGGTGCCAGCGGGCAGAGGGAGGGGATGGGCATTGGGAGGTGGCGGTGACCAGCAATAGTGGAGGGGCGATGGGGACAGGGGGGAAGGGCGGGGCGAGGCTAGCAATTGGCCTGCTAGTCACCTCCTGCAGAGGAAGGCCACTGACAGCAGTAGCAGGGCAATGGGGAGCAGGGCCAGAGCTGCCCCCCTGGTGGTCAGTGCATTCCCACAGAGGGGAATTCCCTCAGCCACAAGCCGGGCTGACCGCTGGCGAGTGCAGTTGCTGCATGAGCCTCTCCCACGGACACTCCCCCTGCCTGCCTGAGCAGCGGTGGGAGCAGGCACAGTGGGGCTGGGATGAGCAGAAGCGGCATGGCACCCAGCCCAGGCATGGGCTCCTCCCCAGCTGCCTGCTGCTTCATACACTACTTCGTACTGTGCAGAATTGACATGGACAGTGGGCTGGAGCCCGACGAGCTGGCAAGTAAAGCCAGGTTGCAGTGCCTCGGAGGTCCACTGATCCCCACAGGCCAGGCCAAGGGACCTCACTGGTGCACAAATCCATGCACCAGGCCTCTAGTATAATATAAAATCACCTGCTGACTGATGACTTTGGATAGCTGATTGCTCACCAAGAGAAAGGGGTCGTATTTAGATAACTCAATTGACTAAATTTCCCTTACAAAATTCAACAGTTTAAATAATTTTGCTTAAAGTATAAAGCATTGTCATTAAAACTATTTGCATATGGTGTGAGAAGGTGGTCTGATTTCACTTTTTGCATATATCTGTCCAACTTTTCCAACACCATTTATTGAATAGACGATTTTTACCCCATGTATGTTTTTGCCTCTATTGTCAAATATTAACTGACTACAAAGGCATGGGTTTATTTCTGGGCTCTCTCTTCTGTTCCACTAATCTATGTGTCTGTCTTTATGCTAGTACCATGCTGTTTTGATTGCTATGGACTTGTAATATAGTTTAATATCAGGTAGCATGATTCCTCCAACTTTATTCTTCTTTCTCAAGATTGTTAAGGCTTATCATGATCTTGCGTTGTTTCATGTAAGTTTTTGGAATATTTGTTCTTGTTCTGTAAAATATGCCATTGGTGCCTTTTTAAAAATTTTTATTGTTGAAAGTATTACTTGTGTCCCTTTTTCCCCCCATTGACAGCTTCTAGCCATTGGTATCTTGATAGGAATTGTGTTAAACCTATAGATCGCTTTGGGTAGTATTTACACAATTAAATATGACTCAGCCATAGAAAAGAAGGAAATCTTACCTCTTGTGACAGCATGCATGGGCCTGGAAAGCTAAGTGAAATAAACCAGTAGAGAAAGACCATGAGCATATGACTTCACTCATATGTGGAATCTAATGAACAAAATAAACAAAGTGGAGACAGAGAACAGACTGACAGCTGTCTGAGGGGAGGAGGTTGAGGGCTGGGTGAGAAGAGTGAAAGGATTAAGGAAAGAATCATGGACGCAGACAACAGAAGGGTCATTTCCAGGGGGAAAGAGGGGTTGAGGGAAGTAGAAGAGGGCAAAGGAAGGATAGATGGTAATGGGAGGAGACTTGACTTGGGGTGGTAAACACAAACTACAGATGATGTATTGTGGAATTGTGCACCCAAATCCTATACAATTTAATTAACCAATGTCACCCCAATAAATTCAATTACTGGTGAAAATGGAGACTTACTATTATTTTACATTATATTTATTTTAATACCGATGTGTTTCAACCTTCGTTTCCTTCAAATACTTCCTTCTTCTCCTCTGAATGGTCTATTTCCTTTTACTTTGATTTCAATGCTTTTATTTCTCAGTTACTATTAGTTCTTTACATAATAAACATTGTAACATTTAGTCGCTCAATTTTACACAAAATATATTTTATCAGTTTACTGCTTGACAGTTTTAGAGGTATTTAATATTTAAAGCACTGAAAAATTTCTTTGTCACACAACTAGCATTGCTTCTTATCTTAGACTGTTCTCCACACTTTAATCTTTTAAATATTCAACTCTATTTTTCTATACTTTTCTCCACAACCTCTGCAACACTTGTCTTATTGATAATAGCCATCCTGAAAGTTTTTTCATGTACTTTTTACCCAGTTTCCCTAATGGTGACAGCTTGAAAAATTATAGTAAAATATCACAACCAGCAAGTTGACACTGATATAGTCAAGATATAGAACATTTCCATTACCTACCATAAAGCTCCTTTATGTTGGCTTTTTTTAGCCACACATATTTCCTCCTACCCCACCCTCCCTAATCCCTTAACTCCTGGCAACCATTTTTCTGTTCTCTAGTTCTATAATTTGTCATTTCTATATTTGTTAGACCAAAAAAGTAAACACAGATAAAAATCCTTGCTTTTATGTAGGTCGCCTGGTAGTAGGTCAAGATAGACAATCATCAATTAACATAATAAATAGATAAATTATACAGTATTTTAATTTAGAAAGTAAAGGGTATTTTTTGGGGGGGGATGTCAGAATGAGGGAAATACTAAGAGATGGAGATTAAGCTGTTTCTAGTGTTAAACAAATGATTGGGTAACAAGTGATTAAAGTAGGCTGAGACTGGAGGCAGGGAACTAATTAGAAAACTATTCAACACCATAGACAGGAAATGACAAAGAACTAGGACTAAAGCTAGACAATGAGGGTGGAGAAAACAGGATAGATTTGAGAGATATCTAGGAGGTAGAATTTATGAGACTGCTTGTGGGGAGTTTTGGCTTGGTTGACTAATGAACTGTGACAACACAGGAGAGGAAGGAGAAAGAGCAGGGAATTTGTTTCCAGTGGATGCTGGGTTTTTGTTTTTGCCAAGGAAGGTGGTGGGAGATGATAAATCAGTGCGTTTCTCTTTGCTGGGGACACGAGTGGAAGACTGAGGTGGACATTCCCAAAGAGCAGCACATGCAGGGTGCGGCAAAAGCAGGTTTACAGGTGTTGCTATAAAAATAATGCAATGATTAATAAACAATAATACAGGAATAAACTCTTGCGTACTTGCAACAGTAAACCTACTTTTGCCCAGCCCTGTATTTCAAGAGTGGGAATCAGAATGGATCTCAGTTCTGGGAGTACATAGGCAGAGATTCTCAAACTGTAGCATAAGAATCAACTGGGGAGCTTGTTAATACTTAAGCTCAGGCCTAAAAGATTTCAGTAGCTCTGGAATGGGACCTCAAATCTGCATTTTACACATACATGCACACACACAGGTGTTCAGGTCCAAATCTCACTTTAAGAAGCAGTAATATTGGTAGCATGCCATGACCTGCACGGCGAGGTTCAGGATCTGAAGGAGGGGCCGACGCACAAATGAAAATGCTACACAAGAAATATGAATTTAGAAGGCATGGGGGGCTGGTGGAAACCTCTTTTGTGAAAAGGCTCACCGAGACTGGGTCCCGTCTGCTTTTTATTCACTCTGAATACACATTTGCCCTTTAGCAATGCATACAGGCAGATCAAAGGTAAAGTTTGGTATACAATGTAAAGACTATCAGTTTGGGAAATCGCCTTGAGCCACTGAATATCAAAGTCCATTGGCCTTCCAATGTCTCTTTTTGCACTTTTATGCTAATTGCTGTTTGCTTTAGCCTCCGGCAGTAGTGGATGGGATCTGAGCGTGTAAATTGAAGGATACAAGTGTGAAAGAGAAGAGGATTAAAGGTAGAAAGGTAGAGAGCATAGATATATAGGGAGGAATTGCAAAGAGAAACATTCTGAGCTGTGGTCCGAGAGCTCTATTATTCACCAGTTCACATCAATGCCTGAATGTCCTGGACTTGTGGCCCTTCTTACTTGGAGCTGGGAGTTTCTATTAAACCAAGGTGAGAGTCATTTTGAAAAGAAGTTGGGTTCAAATATAGAAGAACCTTGAGTGGCTAAGGAGTTGATCTGGTTCTGTCATGTGTGAAAACCATGATGAAAGTATTTGATTGGGACAAGAGGATGATGAAGGCAGAAGTGTTGTAAGATCATTTTTGTGCTACCTGGTTGGGAGGAGGAGAAAGTGAAGCAAGATCAGTTAAGAAAGATTACAGAAAATGAAAACAAAAACACTAACTTAACGCCAAAACCGGTTTGGCTCAGTGGATAGAGCGCCGGCCTGAGGACTGAAGGGTCCCAGGTTCGATTCCGGTCAAGGGCATGTACCTCGGTTGCGGGCACATCCCAGTGGGAGATGTGCAGAAGGCAGCTGATCAATGTTTCTCTCTCATCAATCTTTCTAACTCTCTATCTCTCTCCCTTCATCTCTGTAAAAAATCAATAAAATATATATTTAAAAAAACACTAACTGAACTATGCAAAGAATAAGAAAACCGCTGTGAAGAAGTCAGAGAACTGAAACGGGTTTAATTGGGCTGGAGCCTCGGAGACAAAGGCAAAAGAGAATTTTTAGCCAGGATTTTAGCCAGCAGTGCCAAATGATATAGAGATGGCTGGAAACCCACCTGTCACTAAAAAAATAATAATAGCACAGGTATTGTCAGAGGGATTATGGCTAAACAGAGAACTTTCTCACCCACATGAAGCTAAGATGATATGCTTTTAACTTAAATTTTGCCTTGAGAAAGATGAGTATTCAAAGTCACTGTGATCTTCCCTGAAGTTCTGAAAAAGGAAAAAGTTCCTACCTTTATTTCTTTTAAAGACAAGTAAATGGCCCAGAAAACTAAGATAAATATCAGCATCACCAGTAATTTACGAGCTGTTGCATTTGGAAACATAGTGAGTACACCATAAGAAAAAAGAGGAGAAATAATCACACATTAAATAAATTAAACATGACATTGCTCTGTATATTTTGGTTCCTCCTCAGTGCTTTCCAGAATAGGATTATGTTCTACGTGCTGCTATCTCCTGGGTCTCTGGAAAGTTCCATTATATGTTCTTACAGAAATCGGAAACAACAACCCTCTTTGAAGCAGGGAATTGAACTGGTTGAAGGACTCTTGGTTCCTGACCTTCTTCAGTTTGAAGTGACATCCAGGCTCTGAGCCGTTTCTCTCATCAAGGTTTTTACCCAGCGCAACTGCTTGCCCTAAGAAAAACATTTTTCTGGTGCCCTCCAGTGAACCCTGGTCTCTAATTCTCTTGGATGCACACACATGCGCACACATTTGTTTATCTGGTGTCCTTCCTCCCCAATCTTATCTGCCTCCAGAGACTTCATTCTAAACCTCCCATTTGTGTCTTTAGGTAGATTGCTTCCACCTCAGGCTTTTAGTCTTCTCATGCTAACGAGGTTAAGAAAGATTGCATAAAGGGAAAGGGTGTATTCTAGAGAATTGTCACTGTTGAATGGTTGGGATTTTGGTTTTTTTAAACCAGAATCCCAAAAGTATGTGGCAAAGAGCTAAATTATGGCAGGTTTTTCTCAAACTTTTTTGCCCAGGACCACAGTAAGAAAATCATATCAAATTATCAAAGCCTATTTCAGGGCGCGCGCACATGCACACACACACACACACACTAAATAAAATGACATTCATATTACTGCGTATTTTCTAGTTATTCTATTTTAATCCATTCCATTTTAACCATTTTTAAAGTATTTTTCATGTCCAAGTAAACAATTTTACTATGCCAAAGAGCTGTAATGCACCATTTGAAAAGCACTGGCCGATCTGTGGATCACCCTCCTGTCTCTGCCATTAAACCCACAAATACGAGTTAGCGGATACCGCACCTGTGGATGAATGTTTCCTCCATCATATTCTCATACTCTCTCACAGGAATTACAGTCGTCCAGACTTCTTTTGGTTAGAACAGTCTTTGCATTCATTTCAGGGTAGGGGTTTCCCTATAAGCTTCATTGATCAAAAGCTGAAAAGCCGTTTGTGGCGACAGTGTGCCCGCTGGAATCACAGGCATCCCTTCTGATGGCCTGTAGCTGCGCACTCCACGGAGCCAGAAGATGGGAGCCAGGAGGGAGTGCGGAATTTTGCTTTAGGGGATAGATACGGCCAATCACAGTCCAGGATCACCTTTGGTTGAGACCGCACATATTTCTGTACACCGTGCACTTCCCCTTTCTTGCCTTATTTTGCTGTCCTGCGGGATTAGTCACTTCCACAATAGCAGCAGAAGTGTCAGGAAAACTGGAAAGAGGGAAAGCAGAAGCTCTTGTCCACAGTTCCTGCACCCCTGAGGATGGATTTGGCTGGTTCTTCTCAATATGTGGAGTGCGTTCTGTTCATTTTTCCTTTTCCCCACCAGTTTATTTTGTTCATTAGATTCCATGTACAAGTGAGACCATGTGATAATTACCTTTCTCTGACTGGCATATATTTTGCTCAGGATAATGCTCTCCAGGGCCATCCATGCCTTTGCAAAAGGTAAGAGTTCCTCCTTTCTTATCACCATGTAGTATTCCATTGTGTAGATACACCAAGGCTTTTTTATCCACTCATTTCCTGAGGGACACTTGGCTGTTTCCAAATCTTAGCTATTGTAAATTGTGCTGCTACGAACATAGGGGTGCATATATGCTTTCTGATTGGTATTTCTGGTTTCTTAGGATATATCCCTAGAAGTGGAATCACTGGGTCAAATGGGAGTTTCATTTTTAATTTTTCAAGGAAACTCCATATTGTTTACAACAGTGGCTGCACCAGTCTGCATTCCCACCAGCAGTGCAGAAGGGTTCCTTTTTCTCCACAACCTCGCCAACACTTGTCCTTGGTTGATTTGTTGATGGTGGCCATTCTGACAGGTGTGAGGTGATACCTCATTGTTGTTTTAATGTGCATCTCTCTGATGATCAGTGACTTTGAACATTTTTTTATGTCTCTTCACCATCTGTGTGTCCACTTTGGAGAAGTGTCTATTGAGGTCCTTTGCCCATTTTTAAAATAGATTGTCTTTCTTTTGTTAAGCTGTATGAGTTCCTTCTGTATTTTGGAACTTAACCCCTTATTGGATGTATCATTTGCAAATATGTTCTCCCATACAGTGGGCTCTCTTTTTTTTTTAATTGTTTTATTGCTTAAAGTATTACAAAGAGTGTTATATATGTCTCCTTTTTTTTTTCTCCCATTGACCCTCCCCTAGCCTCCCATGCCCGCCCCCCAGTGTCTTGTATCCATTGGTTATGCTTGTATGCATGTATACAAGTCCTTCAGTTGATCTCTTACCCTCCCCTCCTCCCCCCAACCCGCCCCAGCCTTCCCACTGTAGTTTGACTGTCTGT